TAACAAAATAAAAGAAATTTTACAGGGAAGAATTTGAGTTAGTACCTTGCTTTCCAGAAGAGATTCTGTCAGCTTGAGCTTCTCATCAACCCTTGACCACTCGTCCGTAAGCTAACATCATAGAAAACAGTTAACAATATCAGCCTTTGTTCTTAGCACAAACCAATAGCTTTAAAATTAGCACAGGAAAATTAGTCATATGTACCCAACTCAAAGTGCCTAAGGGACAGATATGCAACACTACCGCTAAGAATTATGTTGCCAAAAAAGGCAACATGAATGCAAATACTAGTCTAGACCTGCCCATCAACTTTCAGTAGATTGCAGTTTTCAATAAGTGATGTGGAAGTTTGTAGAGTTATTCTTATTTTGGAACAAGCTGCCCTTAAATGTTTAATGAATCCACAAATTCAAATGTGAGTCCAAATGATTCGAACATCATTCTGTTGCTCGGCTCTCCCAAACTAAAGCAGAACTTAAAAGTAAATTCAATTACATAACAGCAATTCTCATTCAAACGAGACTTTTTCCAAAACAGGAGAATTTAAACAAGATAAGAACTGATTGATATTGAGGGCACCAGAAACTGCAGTTTGAATCTTATAATTTACCATATATTTCTCTGTTACAAGACGGTCATAACAAAATTCTGTCCTCTTGTCCTAGTTGTTTCACAACTCCTACAATTCTTGCCATACTCCGCGAATGCAGTCATTTTCCATTTCACACTCAATGCATCTCCTAGTCAACCCCAGTCTTTTTCAACAGTTTCAACTGTGATTACACTTGACCATTTAACTCAATTTTCTACATGTCAAAAGTGAAAATGATATCAATTTCTTACTTCCTCTTATCCTCAGTAACTCAAAATCATACTCTATTCACTTAGCAGTCGATAGCCAAATTAAATCAATATATCAGAAAGCATAAAATAGATAATTTCATAGCATGTCACAATGTAAGAAGTTAGCAGAACCTCTTCAACAGCCTTTTCCCGTAAGCGCTCTGACAATCTCAATGACTTGATCTCCGCCTGAGCCTCAGACAATTCTCGGTCCTTATCTACAATGACATATTCACACACAGTATTAACAGAAAAAAACAACAGAATTAGTCCAAAAGATCGCATTGAATACAGCTAGCAATACTGACCTCTAAGTTCATTCTCCAGTCGATTAAGCTCCACTTTCACCGGATCCGACCCGTGGAGAAGGTTTAAGAACTCATCAGCGTCAAGGCTTGGCCTCATGGACGTCCTTCTCCGGTAAGTCTTCCCTTCCTTGAACGAAGCTGCTACCGTCAAAGGCGTTGTAAAACCTGCAGTGTCACTCGTCGGCTGTCGCACATTGTAGCTGTTATCGCAGGAAACCTCCGCCATCTCCGATCTGTAAACTTCTACGGTAAGCTCACTTTCAATGAATAATTCATATTTACAACCAGTTGTATAGATATTAGATAGAAATGATTATGTAGATATTTATATAGAGATAATCTGTTGTTTAACTAATTTAAATTAGCATTTAAAAACAAATTCTTTATATTTAAATATTAAATTTGTAACTAATTAATTGTCTCTAGTATATTGGTCAAGCTCACATGGGACGCAGCTAGTAGGTACATGAAAAATCGTTAGTCTGTCACCATCACATAAATAAATAAATTGTGCGAATGACAATTTTGTATTTGGTTGAAGTAGTGACGGTGCTAGACGAAATAATTTTGAAATAAAATACAGGATTGTTCTATCGTGAATTTAATTGGAGATATTAATTTTGTTATTGTGTTTTCCAATTAAGTTATTGGCGATAATGATGATGTTTGTTGACAGCGGCAGTATTTATATTTTATTTAAATAGTTCATTCTTCCTCAAATGAGTTGAAACTTTAATTTGAAGCTCAAGGTATATCAATGCTTAACTTTAACTTAATTCAATGTTTTGCACCCTTCAAGCTCCCCCAAAGACAGATTATAAAGACCTTTTCTAGACTTTTCGAGCTTAAAATTTTCATAATTTTTTCGAGTTTAAAATGTTAAAATCTAAATTCCAAAGTGTTCTGTAGATAATCTTCTCCATTTAAAATCTCATTAATCCACATGTGGTGGAGCTTTATTGTTTTACATGATTAAGGAAAAAGGGGATTTGGGTGTTATTTGATGGGTTAAAATTATTGGATGGGTCGGGTTAATTAATTTCAAGTGAGATCGGATATTTTTATTTGATTTAAAAATTCCAGCCATTTGAGGGGCATATTTGTTAAGTCTTCTAATGACAGAGATAAAATTGATCCAATAGTAACGAACAATAAATTAATAAATGAAAATAGAGGGATGTTTTTTACCCTTCTTCCTTTATTATAATACTTATATTATTTGATGTTCAATTCTACTTCTTGAAAGTGATTCAAGAAATAAGTAATCAATGTTGAGAGTAAAAACACATAAAAAAATTTTGTCTCTTAATATGCTAAAAATAACAAGTAAACATGAAAATATATTTTTAGTATAATGTATAAGTAAAAGTGAACATAAATAATATAAAGTTAATACAATTTTTATTTAGATTTCTAAATCTAAAAGTTTCTCTATTGATCACTTACATTTACACTATTCAAAATTTGTATCAATTTAGATATTTATTTGACAAAGTAAATGTCGTTCACTCTCTTGGAGCACATAATACATCTAAAAATGCTTACTCGATTCGTTCCAAAATAAATATGTATATTTGAACTTATTTACCGTGCATTACCGGAAAGAGAAGTTATATAGTTAATCACGTGAGAAGGATTGGGGGAGGGCCAGTGAAGGGGGACGAAAAAGGGATAGGGAAAGAGAAATTTTCCTTTTCTTTTTTATATTTTTTACGTATATTATTCATTCACACGATATTAACTCGTTTTTAAGGGACATATCCATAAGAGTATCTTGTTATTCATGCCTTTGCGTGTGCTTAGGCTTTGCACTACAACCTTGATCTGGTCCACTCCACCTAAAAAAAGAAAATTTATTTTTTCATCTTTTAATTTAAAATGATTTTAGACACAAATAACATATATTCCTATTTAATTTGACACTTTATGCATACATAAAATGAACAAGGTGTTAAATTAATAGACTCATACAAATAAAGAGATAATACAAAATAGAAAATTCATTTCATTTCATTGAAAAGGAAGAAGAAGATTTTGGCATTAATAAGTTTGTTGTTTAGGCTAAACTTGCCATTTATCTCTCTATTAATTTGACATGCATCAAGTCTCAAAGATTAAAATAAAATTATTATCTAATTTGGTGTGTGGTCACTTTCGTAATTATTAACTTTCTCATAGGATGATGATGCTCACATGATAAAAATCCAAAGCCTCTTTGCCCCACTCAAGTTGTATGCCGGAATGACCATTTAAGATCTCTAATCACTATTTAAATTTGAAAAAAATAGAATTACTTTTTATGAATTTGTTGAAAATAATTCTGATATAGTTTATGGTGTTAAAAATAGAAGTTGCTATAATGAAAATATAGAATCTACATAAATAAAAAAAGATTGCATTCAATTTTATAATGACGTTGCTTCTTCAGTTCAAATCGAGGAATTCCATAAATATGATGCAAGGGAAAAAATGCTACTAGCAAAGAAATCCATACACTTCTAAAATGTGAGATTCTCTTCAACAACGATTAAATGTAGTTTATTATATATTGATGTATTTCGATTGAGTAAATGATAAAAATGCCCCCTTATGTTTGAGATGAGTAGAGACTTAAAGTATGCTTTGAATAGTTTTAGTATTTTGAATTTGTCATAAATTAATTGGATAGACGTATAGCAGAATTCAACGAATTTTACGAAAATGATTCATAAGTGACTAAAACTCTCTATTTCAATTTGTGTGAACGAAACATTTACTCCTTACGCGATTTTAAGCGCCAAATTACATACTACCACTCTTCTAAAAAACATCTATTATTCCTATGAATAATCACACAAAGAAATATAAAAAGGTAACGCCCATAATTATAAATTATTATTTGTACACAAATTTAACAGGTGTATTTTTACCCTAAACAAAGAGTTGTGCTTTCATTTCTTTGTTGAGATTGAAATCAAGTGAAAAGGTTAGGTATAATGCTCGCGGGCTAATTATTCAGAACCCGCTGACTCCAGAACGGGGGGGCGGCTCACTTGTTTTTTACGAAAAAAAATTCTGGATGACCGGAGCGCTTGTCTGTGATGGACCCCTTATTTTCGTATTTAAGGAAGGTATCCCTTAAATTCGAAAAAGAAGAAAGAAAATGGCATGGGTTTGGGAGCTCACCCTTTGGGTCTCGCTTCCAGCGCAGGAGGCCGGCATTTCCACGATTAAATAATATTTCATTCTGGTTGTTGCCTCCAAGTCTCTTGCTCCTATTAAGCTCAGTCTTAGAATTCTCCTCATGCTTTTTCCATCACGATTTTCTCCGTTGATACTCCGCATCTTCACAGAGAATTCAATTTCACCGGGTCCATGAGCAAATTATAGAAATTAAACACTTTCAATTTTCAATAAAAATGATTATGTTAAAAAACAAAGTATGCACTGAACTATTGAAATTTAAATTCAACAAAGTTAACACTTAAGTTTTCGTCAAGTATTAATCAAACTTTATTTATGAAGTTAACAGTAACTCACATTTAAAGGTACAATTGTATAGTTTCTACTATTTTTGAATTATTTCTAGACTTAAGTGTGTGATTCTTAAAAGTATAGTTTCTATTATTTTGTATATCTTTTTCATGTTTAGTAATTAGTATGATTTTTTTTGTGTATTATGAGGTTTTCTTTATATTTATGATTAATTTATATTTTTAATTTTTTTTGTCAAATCAATAAATACAAATTATTTAATATTTGATGAGGATTAAAATATACTTAGTACATAGTTAGGGGACTATTTTAAATCTGTCCGCAAACATAAGTAACCATTTTTCGTCATTTTCTCGCCCTAACTCTCACTATATATTTAACTTTTTCTTGAAGGCAGCTTTCACTAAGCAAAAAGTGAAAGAAAAGAACCGCGAAAGTTGAATTCTATGAATTCATAAGAGAAAAATTGAAAAAAAGAATATGACGATCGATTGTTTAGTTTTGGGTAAGCATTTGTTACTTTATTTTATTATACTTTTGATATACTATACTATATATACTATATGTATGCCTACCACATGTTTGATGAAATGCTGAAAAGAAACAATTTTTGAGTTTACAGGTGCAGGACAAGATGTAGGAAAAAGCTGTGTAGTGGTAACTATAAATGGCAAGAGGATAATGTTTGACTGTGGAATGCATATGGGACACGACGATCATCGGAGATACCCAGATTTCTCTCTTATATCGGAGTCTGGTGACTTTGACAATGCTCTTTCATGCATCATCATCACACATTTGTATGTTACTCTGCCACACCCCCTTATCATATGTTTCAATAAACCCCTTTACACCTTGTTGGATGGTTGTTACATTCTCCCTACATACCGAGACCGTTTGACTTGACATGAAGTTTAGGAGGAAAAAAAAGGACTACTTTTGAAATTTGTGTGGCAAGTTTTAAGGGAGAATTTTAAAATTAAATTGTTTCAATCGCATAAAAGCGACATTCTTTATGGAACAGATTAAAAAGTAGAGTGTGTCACATAAATTGGAATAGAGGGATTATCACTCATTAGGTATCATATTGATGAATATAATGTTTGGATAAATTGTATCGTTTTTACATTTTCATGTAATGCCATACATAAGCAGTATGATGAATAAATTTACAATATTAAAAGTAGGTTACACGGTAATTATTATAAGAAAAGGTAGAGCTAAAGGATAAAATATAATTATTACAAACATGGGCAAATTGAGGAAAAAAACAGATAACGACGCGATCACACCTACCATGTCGTTACATAAAATAAGACTTTTCATCCTTACATAAGGATAGATTTAACCATACGAATCAAATTTAAGTAATATCAATACAAACATTGTATTTAGATGTTACAATAGAATAGGTAACAAGATATGCCCCAGCATGGTGAGTCACATCCCCTATTTATATGATGGCTTTGTAATCTCTTACTTTTTGGTCTTGTTTAGTGATATTCAATGCACTTCTTTAGCGATAGGGGGAAATTTTTCCCCTGCTTGACGAATTGCATCCCCTATTACATGTTTATATCATAGTGAAAGTTGCTCTTTTGTTTAATTTGATGAAACTGATGACCCCCTTTAGAGACGGGGGAAAGATTTGCCCCAACTTATTGAATCACATCCCCTGTTAAATGTATATGCTATTTTAATATTTTTATCTGTATTGATCTAATCTAATGAACTTTGGTTGCAGCCACCTAGACCATATTGGAGCTCTTCCATATTTTACTGAAGTTTGTGGGTACAATGGCCCCATATACATGACGGTATGGAATTTCACTGTTATCCAGGAAAAGTATAACTCGTGATCTTAGAAATTGTTCCAACTAAAAAATCTATCTTACATTTACATGTAATAAACCTAATTTACCTAACATTAGGGATACACTTGTTATCAAAATGCAATATGAATCAATAAATATTGAATGTCATGGAGATTATAAAAAAAGTGTCACGAGTTGCTGTTTACATTAATTAGACAATGTGAAAATAAAACGTGAAGCAAAATTAGCACAAAAAGAGTTCTGTTTTGGACATATATCCAGATACTTCCTTTAAAATATTAAAGCACTAGAGTAGATCAAGTGATAGGGAGATGCCTTTTACAAATTAACAAAGACTCCCTCCGTCCCTAATTACTTGTCCACTTTTGAATTGGTACACATGTTAAGAAAACAATAATTGATATAGTGAGTTTACCATTTTACCCCTATTAATTAGGAAGTGGATGAATTAGAAACTTAAAATTTTCAAGAAGTTCTACCTTTTTCAAAGTAATTAATTGAGGGTATAATGGGTAAATTTTTTTGTCCTTTCTTGATATGTCAAAATGGACAACTAAAAAAGGAAATGTGGACAAATAATTAGGGACAGAGGGAGTATGTGACATAATTGGAAGTCGTTTGCCTACAGACAAACCAGATATGTTGGGAGATTTTTAAGAAAATCTCAATTTTGCTTCATGTTTTGCGCAATATTTTGAATTCCTCTTTTATTCACATCTGATATGTAATTATCAGCCCATGTAATATATGCTTTTAATATCCAAATTCTTTTTTTGCTAGAAATATTATGAATGAGCAAGAATGTGTACTTGGATTTTCAACTTAGTTTCGCCTTAGTTTATGGTCTACTCTGTGATCAACTTTAATAACTCATCCTTCAGTATCCAACAAAAGCTTTAGCTCCATTGATGCTGGAAGATTATCGCAGAGTTTTGGTTGATAGAAGGGGAGAGAAAGAGCAATTTAGTTCTGAGAATATCACAGATTGCATGAAAAAAGGTATCCTTTCTCCTACTAGTCACTTCCGTGACCTATTTATAGTATGATTAGTAATTGGTGGCAAATGGTTAGAATTTTGTACAGTTCGCACTATATGTTCATATTGCTTCCATTAAAGTTATCAACTAGGCAAGTTAACTTCTCAGTAGTTATACCAACTTTATTTGGGTCAAAGCAAAGGTAAGTTAGACTGAGCATATTTATGATATCTGTTGAGCAAGTACACTTTAATTTATTTAATTATATGCTCAACATGTCCCCTTATGTGCACTGCTCATTCTTTTTTCATGGCTAAGCACATAGAATTCTTTTTAATAATGAGTGGCATTGAGATTCGATCCCAAGATCTCTTTCTACTCTGATACCATATTGAAGTCAGTGTTGTCAAACCATATTGAAGATTTGAGGTGTGTGGCCATCTCATCTAAAAGCTTAAGCTTAAAACTGTTAGAAAGAACACACTTTTATTTACTTAATTATATTCTCAACAATCTCTCATGTTGAAATAAGACAGTAATATATATTGTGTATCACTGCCATAACCACTTACAACTCTAATATCCTATTAGTTCTCCAAAAAGAGAAAACCATGTGCAAAGCGGGAGCCATTTGTAATTGTTGCATATATATTGGTGATAAAAGCTAACTGACAATAATTGGGATTTTCCACTCCTCACATGGTTGCATGGGTGCATTGCCTGACTAATGGACATACCCTTTCTGTTTATTTTGGTTAAATCTGCTGTCTCAGTTGAGCTGCAAGTCTGACATATGCACAAACCTTTTCTGTCCCCCCCCTCCCCCCCACACACACACAAAAAAAAAATAAAAAAAATTAAATTGACTGCTGCAGGCTCTTGACAGTTGACACCATTACTGTGGTTTCAATGGTTCTAATAGTTGCCTTCTCTGACTCATAGGTTAACTACACGAGCTTCTTATGTGGTTTCACTAATTATCAGTCTAGTATGATAACTATGTTAAATGTGTTACTGCTGACATCAATGGATCATGTAGCAGTAACAGTGGCTTGTTCTGCTGCCTCCAGAATCCCACTGTTGAAACCATTCAATATTATTGAGCTTATTACATGTCTACCTACAACTCAGAATTCACACATTGAGCCATTTAGGCACACCGAGATCATAGGGAACTACATTCTTTTGGTAGAGATAGATTATCCGTATTAGATCTTGCCAATACTTCATGCTAAAGTTATACTGTGGAAACAAAACAAAGGGAGAACAGACGGTTCTCATTGAAGTACAAGTATTTTATGAAATCGCTAAATTAAAGCTAGACTTCTAAAAGTTGGCAAGAGAAGCTAGATTCCAAGAGATTGCTGATTGAACTCCTAGATTGAGCAATATTAATTTAATGCACATGCAAGATTGGATTGATGAGTGAAGTGAATTCTACCGATCTAACAAAATGCAGCTATTACATAAGTTAGCAGACATGCTGAGCTAATGATATTTTCTGCATCTTTTCTCTTATTCATCTCCAAATTGATGTGTTATTTAACTTTTGCAATTGGTTTGCAGTTACTGCAGTGGATTTAAAGCAGACTGTGCTGGTTGATCGAGACCTTCAAATTCGAGCATACTACGCTGGACATGTATGGTTTAAACTATTCATTCATTTGCACAAACACTCCAATAACTTTTTCACATGCATTCATTGGTATCAAGCAGATTGACCTGTAGGTTTTCTTTTCAATCTTAAGGGAAAAAGGGACCATCAATTAATGATGAAAACAAAGCCACATCAACTTAATTCACGATAACAAGTCTGTTTAGATTGACTTATTTTAGGCAGTGTTTTAAAAGGCGGGGGCACGAGGTGAGACGTTTTATGTAGCATGGGTGAGCTGTAAGTCCCGAAATATGGGGGTAATTCCCATGGATCTACGGGGTATATCTCATGTATCTTTAATTTTATAACTATGAAAATAAGAAAATGTAAAAATTTCAATAACTCTGCCAATAAATTCAAATAAATCACTAGTCATATAGAAAAAAATATTATTATTATTATTTTAGAAAGGTATCAACACAAAAAATGATAATATTCGAGATCTTAAAAATAAAATCATCATCCGTTTCATCATTGATCTCTACTTCTACTAGTCCTTCCCATTCTCAACTAATATTTGCACTGGTTATGTTTACATATTTCAAAGAAGAAGAAATTTAACAAGTGTAAGAGCAATGACAAAAATGGATAAAGCTGTGTCAAGAACGTAGTGTTACGGAATCTCTATCCTATCAATTTCAGGCATGACTATCTAGAATACTATTTATGGGAGTGTCATTTTCTATGAGAGGTAGAGAGACTATTTCTGGAAATAGCCTCACTACCTCCACGAGGTAGTGGTAAGGTTTGCCTACATTCTACCCTTCCCAGACCCCACTTGTGGGATTTCATTGGGTGTGTTGTTGTTTGAAAAAATCTCTACAACATGAAAATATGATAACATTAAGTATAAAAATCACTACCCCAATAATAAAAATATGATTATATACTTTTAAAATATTTAAAAACGAATTTATCGCCCGGGACTCACACTTTCATGTCCGGGGTTTATGCCCCAACTAGGTTGTACGCCCTATGGATCTACACTTTTAATTTTACTCTGGAACATTTTTGTTATGCCCCGCCCCGTGGCTCGCCCAGAAAATGCCTTTGGAAACACTGATTTAGGTGCTTCTAAGCAGTTTTGTAGTTTTAAGGTAAAATAAAAAGTGATTTTAAGCACCTGTTTTTAAGCTGAAATAACAAAAATAAGCCAAAAGTCACAGGTAAAGATTTCTAACTTATAACTTTGTACTTACAAGTCATAAGTTATAAGCCCATACAAATGGACTCAATGTTAGAAAAGGATTATGAATTGGATTAAAGGGAGTTAGGTATATCATCTTTTCAAATTTTAAAGGAATGGAAAATGAAGATTAAGAGAGTTAGGTATATCATCTTCTCCTTTAGGTTGGTTTGATCTGAAAGTGTTCTCAAGTTTAAACTGGCTATTTTCCTGGTGCGTATTTCATATTTCAACTTTTTAGAACTGATTATTCCCTTTCCAACTGACCTACATTTCTGAAGCATATGCAGATTATTGATTGACTCTTCTAACCTCCTCTTCTCTCACACTCATACGCGATCTTGTGTTAGTGCTTCTGGATACAGCTAATTTACTCGATAGCTGTGTGAAGCACACTAGATTTTCTGTGTTCTTTCTTCAATTTGGAAGCTACAAGCAGCTATATATACTCCATGTCAATAAGCAGAGCTGTGTATGTTTGTCTTTTTCTTTCCTGGCTCAGTTTCTCCAACTTGAGTGAGAACAATTTTTTGTTGCATTTGGAAGTTCCTCAATTAAAGCAGCAACACAGCATTATCACAAAACAAAAAGAAAATAGCAGCCTTGAAAATCCAATGTCTTAAACAATGAAAAGAGGAGAGAGAAACAAAAACACCTAATTCATAATATGTCTACCACCAATAATAAAAGAATGCTACTTATGAAAGTGATAATGCGAAATATACTACCAGCAGAACCCACCCTTCGGGGGGCCCCATTTGTTTGGACTTGGGACTTCCATGTTGGAGGTCTCAAGTTCGAAACCCCATGCCAGCGAAAGCAAGAGGTTTGCCTTCTAGGTTGAGCTCGTCGCACCAGGCTTGCCTACTGCAGGTTACTTCTCCTATGTGGTTAGCGAGCTATTGCATAGGAGCGGGGGTTTTACCCTGTGCGCACCCAAAGGATAGTGGCTACGGGTTTCCCTTGTCATAAAAAAAATATATATACTACCAGCAGAACCCACCCTTCGGGGGGGCCCCATTTGTTTGGACTTGGGACTTCCATGTTGGGGGTCTCAAGTTCGAAACCCCATGCCAGCGAAAGCAAGAGGTTTGCCTTCTAGGTTGAGCTCGTCGCACCAGGCTTGCCTACTGCAGGTTACTTCTCCTATGTGGTTAGCGAGCTATTGCATAGGAGCGGGGGGTTTTACCCTGTGCGCACCCAAAGGATAGTGGCTGCGGGTTTCCCTTGTCATAAAAAAAAATATATATACTACCAGCAGAAACCAATTGATCAATCAGGAAGTTGACACCACACTACTTGTGTATATACTCATACATATATAGGATTCCCCCACTACATTGGCGTACTGACTTGCGGAAAAATAAAAGCACTAAAGATAACCTGATTGCTAATGCTAGCTGCAAGTTCATTCTTGGAGACAGTCATGCAATGCAAATTATAAATCTGAGCTTAACATAGATGCACATATTGTCCTTCTCTATATTGCTGCTGTCTGCCTTCCTTTGTTTCCCTGTAAATATGGCACATGTCATGGGTGATCTCATGTGGAAGACATTTGAACCACCAGCAAATGTGGAAGAAAAACATGAAGGAGTAAAATTAAAATTCTGGATTGATGAAATGGAAAAGAAATTTGTGTTTATCCCTATTAGTTCATGATGTTCTAAACTAGCTGTCTTGTCAAATATTTTAGATATCTTTGATTGAAATCTTTTTATGTATCAGACAAACATTCCTTCTTGTGAACTTCAACTCAACTCACTTCTATTATTATACACAAAAAGAATAGAGCCAGAATTTTGTCATCCAGCTGTAAATCATGCATGAAAGGTCAATCAATATGGTGTTGTGAATATCAAACTCTATGTCTAGGTTCTTGGTGCTGCAATGTTTTATGCTAAAGTGGGTGATGCTGCTATGGTATATACTGGAGATTATAATATGACGGCTGATAGACATCTTGGAGCTGCTCAAATTGACCGGCTGCAGCTGGACCTTGTCATAACAGAGTAAGTAGTGGATACTGGATACCATCTAGAAAATCACCTGCATATACATCATGGTTGTACCTGTCAAAAGAATACCATGGTAAACAATCTTGGTCAAATATTTAGTCTAAATCAATATTGATGATCATTTTTCCAGTTCCTTTTTTATTTCACGATTTTCTGCATTTCAAGTGGATTGATGACTTTTGAGTCCCACATCAATTGTGGGAATGGAAATTCGACTCCTTACATAGTCGGCGACAATCATCACCCCTTGATCTAGCTTTTGGGGTTAAGTTAGCCTCAAGGTCCATTTCTTTATCATGCTATAGAGCCATACCCTTCCCAATTCATTCTTTACCCGACGTTGGGCCCCATCTTATATTGTCCACTCTGTGTGTGCAAGGGGTGTTGAGTCCACATTGGTTGTGAGAACGGAGATTGGACTCCTGATATGGTCTTGACAATCCTCACCTTTTGAGCTAGCTTTTGAAATTGAGTTAGGCCTAAGATCCATTTCTTTATCAATGACCATTATCGGTTTCCTGATTTCGATGCTCTTTTGGCTAGGCTTGGCTCAAAAAATAGTTTGCACTTAAGAAAAAGTATGATTCAAGATTTGATGAAATATTGACTAGCACCAAAATCATAGGTTAGTTCTTGCCAAGATTTATGTCTCCTGCTAATTGGTTTGACTGGAACATCGCAGTGTGAAATGGCATGAACTTGATGTAGTATCCTCCTTTTCCCTGTCTTATTCCTTGTTGGTGGTATCATATTAGTGTTCTTTCCTTCTTATAGCCTCTTCAAGACAAGTTACAATCATCACTTTTGATTCAAAATTTGTAGATATCCTGATAAATAAATTTAATGGAAATATCCTTGTTTGAAAAATGATTTTTTTTGCTGCGAAGATCTCTACTCATAATTTTGTTCTTACAGGTCAACTTATGCAACCACCATCCGCGATTCCAAATATGTTCGGGAGAGGGAGTTTCTCGAAGCAGTATGATACTTTTGGCTACTAAAAAGAGTTCTTTTTTCCGATATCGTGCATATGTTTTTCTTATGATTTCTGCTTACAACACATTGCTCTGACAGAATATGCTTGTGAGTGTTTGCAAGGGTCTTGTCTGAATATCCTTGTCTGGGGTGCTATGCTTTATATCCCGATGTCAATGACTAATGTTGATTGGTATAAGGACCCTAGTCTAGTTCTGAAGCATTGACTCTTCTAACAAAGTCAAAAGCGAGTGATGTGATTTGCAGAAGTATATAAATAGTTTGCATGGTGTGCTCACAGTGATTTTAAAGTTGCAAGTACAATCTGAGTGCTGTACTCCATACCTAAAACGATATTTTGCTTGTGAATTGACCAAATCATAGTTATTGTCTAAGTGTCTCTTAAAAAGTGGTAGGGAAAGAGGCTGCATTGCATTTTCTTTTAGCTGTCACCCCTTGATTGATGATTGATTTCTAACACTGAACAAATCTGTACCAAAGGGAATTTGTGTTTTGTTTAAAAGATGTATGCACGTGCACGTTGTTTTCTTTGTTTACTGCACTTCATCAATTACTGCAATTAGCCATAATCTCTTTCAGTTGTATATTTTTTCTGCTCACTTTGCTCTATTTCGGAATTGGAGGGTTTTTGTCTAAAACATTGTGTTTATTGCCATTCTCTATTATTAAGAGTCCTTTATTTCTAAAATATTTGTGATTCTTTTCTTGGCATTATCCATTCAATTTGCTTTATTATATTGTTGAATTCGTTTTTATTTACTCTTGCTTTAATACCAAAATTTGATAATTTTTTAGATTCACAAATGTGTTGATAGCGGAGGAAAGGTGCTCATCCCTGCATTTGCTCTTGGAAGAGCTCAGGTTTTTATTCTTTATTTTGGCTAGATTATAAATCAACTCTATTTTTTTCCTTTTTTCTTTTTGATAAGGTGTCTGGGCTATCTTGCGCGTATCTCGACTAATTCAACTGGATACTTGTCACTAGGGGTGGGTGTTCGGTTCTTCGGTTATGGAAAAATGTGCAACGAACACCGAACCGATTTAGTTCAGTTTTTTCAAAGTTCGTCTATTCGGTTTTCCAAAACGTTTTTTTGACGCAAATGAGTAAAATAAAATAAGGACCAAACCAAATTAAGTATAACGTTAATACTAGAATTATACCAATATATGGTACTAAATTACTAATTATACCAAAATTATATTGGAATTATACCATATGTAATACTAATTATACCACTATTATACTGGAATTATACTATATATAATACTAGATTACCCACTATTATGTTAGAATTATACCACATATAGATAGTACTAATTGTACCACTATTATATTGAAATTATAACATATATAATACTAATTATACCACTATTATCCTGTAATTATACCATATATAATACTTACATTTAATTGCCAATAAATGTTAATTAATCAATTATGATAAGATTCTATAATAATTAGTGATTTAGTACTGCACAATTGTATTTTCTTTTTACATAATAGAGAGGATTAAAACTTGAGTTGTGAAACAAATTTAACACGTGAAAGTTGGCACATATGGATAACCGATCCTTTTAATGAATAATTATGGAAAAAATAGGAAACATTTCATTGGAATTGACGAGCGAGATTCTGTCTGGAAATTAGATAACTTGTTCTTTGGTTTTTGCTAATTTTAAAATATTTTAATAAAACTTTTTATTAATAAAAGTTTGGTTCTTCGGTGCACCGAAGAATCACGACCCTTAAATGGAACACCGAATCGAAGGACCAAACTTTTGAAAAAAGAAGCCGAAACCAAAGGGCCAAATTAGTTAGGTCTGGTCTATTGATATTTATGCCCACCCCTACCTATTACTCACCAACAACATGTACCCGGTAACTTTGTCCTTCGAGGCTAGAACAGACAGGTAGAAGTCACCTAGTTTTTTCGTTTCTACTATAATTTGAACCTGAGACCTCATGGTGCTCAATCCACTTCATTGACCACTAGGTCTCACCTTGGGGTGCTAAGTACTAACTCTAGCTTTTTAGATGCCTAGATTTAGGACATACTTTAGCTTTAGGTCTTCTATAATGACAAATAATTGAAGGGAGGGTGGGGACAAGTGAACATAACATTACTGAAGAGTTAAATGTTAATCAGTGGTCCTAAACTTCTAATCAGTATTTTGTTTCCAGACATTCCATGAAGAATGTGGTCAACTAGTCCAAACTCTAGTAAGTTATGCATGTAGCTCTCTGAGCTGTCTGTCAATTTGGTTTCAAATATTTGATTATGAGAAACTAAGACATCAATGCTACAAGAGCTTCTGTTAGGCTTGTATTTATTTGGAAGTCCAACTCACTCCAACAAGAGCACCACATCTGATAGTGCCTATGTATAAGTAATGGTTTACATATTTCAATCAATCAACTTGTACCTCAATTCCAAACTTGTGGGAAGTGAGTATGAATCCTCTATATCTATTCCACTCTATCTGCACTCATTTCACTCTAATATTAAATAAATAAGGAAAATTAGGAGTTTTCTAAGTCTAGAGGTTCTCTATATCTCACACTTATCACTGCTACTGATTTATACATGTGTGGTATAAGTTGCCGAATTATATAACTGATAAACATGGGCTTTCCTCAATCTTATTCTTGATGTTTTTCTTTATGTTCTTGCTGCTTCTTACAATTTTCTTTTCTTCTGCACTGTAATATATTATAACACAAGTATTTATTTTATTGGTGAACTATACTTCTCCAAACAGGAACTCTGTATGTTATTGGATGACTATTGGGAGCGGATGAATCTTAAAGTTCCTATTTATTTTTCCGCAGGTTCTTCTCCCTTGATTTCCTTGCATAATTCCTTTTGTCATTGCAGTTATGTGATATTTCTTTGTTGAAATCTTGGTCCTTCCTTGATCAGATTAGAAGAATTAGAGTCGGAACTAGAATTCTGCAAGTGCACATATATCTCTGTAACTTTATGTGTGATTTATTAAGTGTTGTTGGAGCTATCAAGCTGTCTGCACTATAACATGCCAAGCAATTTTATGTTATATTTAAAAGCTAAAAAAATAAGCCTCCCTGTGTACGTGAAAAATAGTTATTACTTGGTACAATGTATGCCTTTTAGGATATCCTACTTAGATTTATTGGAGATACCTATGATAGTGTTGCATACGTTTGTTACCGTCTTTAATTACCAGATATTTCCCTGCCAAAAAGTTATTGTGCATGTCAGTAATAATAATACAGCTTCTAGCCACCAGGTTTCGAACTTGAAATGAGATTTTTTCCATTCCCAGTTCCACAAGTCAACAAAATGGGGTTATGATCAGATATCAACTTTGGTAGAATGGTTTGCTTGATTTGAGAGAAGCTCTCCCCTCATTCTGCACAGTGTAAGAACCTAGCAATTCTGGAGGCACAATCAAAATCCTCACCCCTTCTCCAAGTGAAGGATCCTCCAAATAAAGGAGGATCCACCAATTCTAATTCCTCTATGCAATTGGAAAATTCAGCCATGCCCCCACTTAACCTGCGGCAGTTTATTATCTCTGAGGGATATCTAGTGACATTAAAGTCACCACATACTATCCATGGCCCAAGACAGGTGCTTCTCACATTGATCAACTCTTGCCAGAGTGTCCTCCTAGTCACTCTATTGCAGTCAGCATACACACCAGTTAAATGCCAGCTCCAGTTATCATTTAAACTGGTGAACTTGCCTGTTATGCATTGGTTGCCATCCATCACCATCTCCCCATTCCAAATTCTTTTATCCCAAAGAATTAGGATTCCCCCACTGCTCCCCTGAGCCTCCTTTTGGATTTTTCCCATCCATCTATTGTGCCGTATACTCTGAATAACATTGTCTATGTGACCATCAAGGTTTGTTTCTACCAACACAAAGACATTAGCCCCTCACTGTTGAAGAAGCTTTCTCACTAACTCCCTCTTACTTCCCCCATATAACCCCCTAACATTCCAGGAGATTACAACTGCAATAGTTTAGCCTTGAATAAATATTTTACGTATTTCTTACACTAGGTTGTCATATTAGTTCTCTTAATTAATCTTTTTGGTGGTACAATAATTCTGCAAACATTTTGGATTTACGTAATCTTTTTTTGGTAGTTTGACGCCTTATTCTTAATCCTGAGCTACTGATCTTTCAGGTTTGACTATACAAGCTAATATGTACTATAAAGTTCTCATAAACTGGGCCAGCCAAAAGGTGAAAAATCTTTCCGCAACACGCAATGCATTTGACTTCAAAAATGGTGCTTCCTCTATCACTCATTGCAAGCTTTAGGAAATTGTAGAAATACTAAAACAGTAACAGGGATCACCAAGCTTTCTTGTTCCACGATATTCCTCTTTCTGTATTCCTTAGTAGTTCAAGTGAAAGATTAAGATTTATCTAAAAAAGTGAATGATTAAGATCATACGTAATGCTATGCTCATATTACATTATCTGATGCTTGTACTTTGTAGTCCACAGTTTTGAACGTTCCATGATAAATGCTCCTGGACCTTGTGTTTTATTTGCTACTCCCGGCATGTTAAGTGGTGGATTTTCACTTGAAGTTTTCAAGCAATGGGCTCCGTACGAACAGAACCTGATAGCTCTACCAGGGTACCACCTTTAATTCATTTTTATTTAGTATCTCGTCATGAGACAAAAAGAAAATGCATTTACAAATGTTAATGATACATCCTTGCTTTTGTCTTTTAATAAAAGATGTCTGGGTTCAGGGACAGATTTATAGCCCAATTTGTGGTGCACGTGAACCCATGGTCTCTCGGGCAAACTAGTATTTTATATACATATTCTTTTAGAATAGATCTAATATTATGTGCTGGCTCCCATGCTCCAAAAAAGTCAAATGGTGCACTTCGTTGAACACTGGGTTATTTGCCCAGAGGAACAAGGATCAATTCCCCCCTAATACTTCCTTTTTTCCTACTTTCTTTCGTGGTTTTGCCCACGTGGTGCACCCATGTTATACAAATTCTGGATCCGCCTTTGCCTGGGTTGAGTAAGCTGCTTCAAAATATTTGTCAAGTATTTGCATGCTCTTTTGCTTCTTGAATCTGAAACTCTTGAAGAAAAACTTATAGTTTATCTTTACACGTTGTCAGCATTACCAAAATGCTATTGAGAGCGTAAAATCATGAGAACTGACTTCCATCAACTTTGCGAGGTGCAACAAAATTTTCGTTGGATCTAATGTCTCAATAGACATTCTTTCTTGGTCGAGATGATTGATACTGCTCCTAGCATCAACTGATGATTGTCAACAGTTGTTTCATTTCAAAAGTGAATATTTTCAGTCATTCTTTCCTGCATCGCTGAACCTAAGCACTTGGTGATATCTTTAGTACCAGGAGAAAGTGGGAAGTCAAATTAGAAAACGAAGCTCAGGGTTTGACTTTTTGCAATTCCTTTGGGAAAGAGAAAATTGAAACTCATAAATAGGGATGTAAACATTTCATTCGTAATGCTCATTTCTTGTTTATGTATTTTAATCTTTCGGTGTTCCACATCTCATGTTTCTTTCCTTCTTCCCTGTCAACTTTTCCATATAGGAGTTTTAAGGTCAGCTAGATTCCATTATAAATACTCCCTACTCTGATTGTGTTCTTTACCCTTTACTGTAAAACTCAGTTGAGCACATCAAAAAGAACAGTGGTATGCTAACTTCATCAATTAATTTTTCGGCTATTGCCTCAGTGAAAGAACTTAAAGCTCTCTCATTTCTCTTTTTACACGTTTAGACTTTAGTCATAAGGATTATTGTTCTTTATCACCATTAGGACTATGTGGCTTCCTATTCCATTTTCTTTGTCACCATTTTACCTACACTTATGTTCCTACTATCCTTTGAATTCTATTTTTCAGATATTGTTTGGCTGAGACAGTAGGACACAAGTTGATGAGAGCTAAACCTCCTGCCAGAATCGATGTTGATAAAAGCACCCAGATTGATGTGCGCTGCCAGGTACTTCTATTCTTGTATCCTCTTAAATTTGTTCAATTCCACGACATACTAGCTCTTTTGTATCTCTGTCTTATCATATGCTCCATTACAATGATGATATTTTTACTCGAATGACTCTTCAAACAACTGTTAAACTGTCTGGTAATGATCACGTTAAGAGTTAAATGTGAGGGTTCCTGTCATTTTTCCTTCTGTACAAAATTGTCTTTGTTTCTCTGTTTTAGATCTCTACTTTGGATATCAAAGCTTGAAATTATGGATGATATATAGAAATATTTTCAGTTTCTAATTTTTTTTTGTTATTTAGCTGTGATCTTTCTAACTATACAAGTTTATCTGTTTCTTGGATTTTTGCCAGATTCATCAGCTGTCTTTTAGTCCACATACTGATTCCAAGGGAATCATGGATCTGATCAGATTTCTGTCACCCAAAAATGTAATACTTGTACATGGGGAAAAGCCCAAGATGGCATCGCTCAAAGAGAGAATTGAATCAGATCTTAGGATCCCATGCTATTATCCTGCAAATAACGAGTCTCAGTGCATTGAATCAACTCAATATATTAAAGCTGAGGCATCCAAATCATTTCTCCAAAGTTCTTTGAGCCCAAATTTCAAGTTTCTAAAAACAATTTCAAGAGCAGACACTGGTTTCATTCTTAATGAGAGAGCTGAGTCTTGTATACAAGTATGTGATGACAGAGTAGCTGAAGGGGCAGTCATCATGCAGAAAGACCAGCACCCAAAAATTGTACACCAGAATGAGTTAATGGACATCTTAGAAGCAGAAAATCATAAAGTTCAGGTTGCTTACTGTTGTCCAGTGTGCGTCCCTAATGAACCTAAAAATGTAGCTTTGTCGCCAGGAGAAGATATGCATGCTGTGCTTGATAAACGCTCCTTACTGCATTTATTATACACAAAACTCTCAAATGATTTTCAAGATGTAACCATTCAGAATGATGGAGACCGTCTCCAGATAGAGTCGTTGACTGTCTCTCCCTGTCCGAAGGAGAAGTGTCCTCATAGAAGACATGTTAATCCTGTTAGCACATCTGAAGCAGTAAACTTTTGCTGCACGTGGTCAATGGAAGATGAGAAACTTGCTTGGAGGGTCATCTCAATCATGAAGAATTTGGAGTTGAAGACAAGTGCTCATTTAGAATTGAAAAAATGTTCTGATGAGGGTTCTTAGTGGAGACATGATTCAGTTTACTCTGTTATGAAATGTCAAGAATCATCGTGTAGTCAATGCTCGATAATTACAGCATCTGGAGTAGTTGACTGTATCAAGTGCTATAACGTATAGTCATATCGTGTAGTATTCTTTTGGGGTTTACAAGAAGAGGAAAGAAGTATCCTCAGAAAAATCAATTGTAGTTTGACTGTATCAAGTGCTAATGTGAAGCTTACATTTTTTGCAATGAAGAAATATTGAGCTCTTTGGGACTATAGCCTGTTTTATGCTCATGACAACACTTAGCTTTGCTTAGTGCTTTTTCTGGAATACAATTTTTATTTCCTTCTTTGGTAAAAGGATGAGATTTTTGTTGTGGTAGTTGTTGATGCTCCTCATATACTTGTTACTAGCAGCAAATCTGCACTTTGGTATTTTTTTTATTTCCAATAGTTGTTGCATAATGATCTATACAGTGGGTTGAGAATCATGTGGTTTCAGTCTTTCACATTTTGATTTTAGCGGAGGCAAAAACATTAGGTAATTTCTTTTGGTATGTCCAAGCATTGAGTGCTTGTGCTTATGATGTCATAGCTGAGGGGTTCTTGTGTTCGCGTGAATTATGATCCGTTCCTAGATCATGTAGTAATGTTATATTCTTCTTAAAAAATACTTAAATATATGTGTGCATTCAAGTTTAAAGTGTCATATAATAAGATGGTTACTGGTACACCTATCTAGATGATGTTACAACAATAATAAAAAAATCAGTGCACCTCTCTATGTGAGGTTAGGAGTTCAAATTTTATGTTTATCTTTTTTTTTTCTTTCTAAAATTGGTTGCACCTCTTTAAGTGATTATCGTCAAACATGGATGCATAACTAATATATGAGAAAAATAATAGTATATATTATACCACATTGTTGTCTCAATCTGTCAACATCCTAATAATTAAATGGATTTCTATAAGCTCACATTTTCTTAACAATGAAAAGGGCCAAGGGGTCATTTGTTCTGTCGATAAAAATATGCAAGGATTATAATGTAGAAATTGTAATATTGAATTTATAATCCCTGGATTATAAAGTGATATGATATACTTTTTTTTATGAATATTTGATTTAATAGATTGACAATAAAATTTACAATTCAAATATATCATTAGAGGCTTTACGAGGCATCCTTATTTGTTAACTACATATTTATCGAGAGAAATAAGCAATTGTATTGAAAAAAAAAGCAAATACAATCCCTTGTCTAATCAAATCTTGAATAGTTAGAACTTAAAAATATTTTATCTCTATTATATTTTTTTTATGATAAATACATATTGATGGTCAAGATTTGATAACAAAATTTCATTAAGTTGATATTTGACTTGAATTTCACATTTAGGTTTGTCAATTTCTATTCAACGTTGTTGTATTATAATTGTCAACATCCTACTTATATTATCAAATGACTTTTTTATCTTCTTAAACAAGAAGATGACATGATAATAATGAAAATAATTAAAAGGTTGTATGATTTAAAGATAAAGTAATGTAAAAATTATAATTATAAAAAACAGTATTGTGATTAATAATCCCTAAATTATGAAGTCCATATAATTTTTTTTGACGACTATTTTGTTTCATTGAATTAAAAATAAAATATACATGACATAATAAAATAACATGTACTCCTTTGATTATAGATTGTATAAAGTATTTCTTTTTAAAAAAATTCTAAAATTATCCTTATTCTTAAAGTAAAGAAGTAAGAAAGAGAAATAAGTAATCACTAATCATCGGTATTTTGGTCTTTTACGTATTTGCTTAATCAAATCTTTTCGAAAAAATATTTTTAGAAAATAATCATTTATGTTTGACTATTTAATTTAAAAAAATATATTTTTCAATACATATTTTATGATCATAAATTAAAGACATACTAAATATTCAATATACTCTTTATTTTTATTATCTTAAAAATATCATATAAAAAGTTAAAATAATTTTTTTTTTTTTTTTTGGAAAAAATAAAAAGAAAATTTCGCAAAATGTCCCTTATCCTATTTGTGTCTGTCTTTTTATCAAGTACAAAGATGCTACAAAATTGTCAGTAGCCAGACACAGCTCCCCCA